AAAAATGACAGCAGAGAGTAATTCTGTAAAGCCTTAATAACGATATTTTTTTTCATACATTTGAAGAGAAGTATGCTCTCAGTCCCAGGTTACGGTATGGATAGGAAGTGTCTGGGTAAAGCCAGTGCAGTGTTCAGAATAGCGCTCAGTTGGTTATAGGCTGTTCTTAACTTATGAGAACCAAAACTAAGACAATATTTATTAAATTTTAATAAAATAGCAAATGCAAACTAGGATTTGTAGATCTATGTGCATAACAATTTTTAATCTATTAACTACCACGTTGTAATAATCCTTTAAGAAATCCGTATAAAAGTAAGTCCAATTGTATTTACACTGTAAGCAACAAATTATGACTTTTTCTTTTGCGTTATAACTGTGAATCAAACTAAACGTCAGTGATGAGCAATATGTCCAAAAATTTCATGAATCATGTCACGCACAACTGAGGGTTCTTTGGGAAAATACATTACTCTTTTGTGAAGAGTAGTGTATTATATTTTTTCAAAGAATCTCACAGTTCTCTTTGTATAGGCCATAAAATATTTTATGGCTATAAAGAAAACTCATAATGATTAAACTCCTAGGATCAGAAGGTGAAAACACTTTTGAAGACATTTGCTTTTGAAGTATTCAAACCGGGTCATCCTGGAAGCATTATTTAATGCACTTTTAAAATAGGTATACATATTTTATTTTAAAAATTCGATACTGTTCCCCTCTGTGAAACAAACTAATAAGACTTTTAAAAATCAAAAATAATAAACATTTTTGTTATTTTTTTCACTAATCATGTTACCTATTTTCTTTTTCCTTTAAAAGTTAGATCTATTTTTTTTTATATCTTTCAGCACTGTACCCAAGGACATATTTGTTTATCTTCCTCTTTCAACTTTAACAATAGCCCCCACATACTTTGTAACCATAGCTGTAAAAGAAAACTATTGTTTCTCAAAATCTTGGGCACCTGAATATGGCACTTTCAGATATGACATTTTCCAGATATGACAGAACCATCTTCCTGCCTTAATGGCCTTTTTCTTAGGAAGTTGTTTGATTTGTTATCCTAGTAGTTTTCACGAAGCCTTCATCTGAAGTATGTTATGTAAGGTTCTGTTTATTTATAATTTATTCTCTTGCTGCTTTCTGCTCTCACACAATTTTTGCAGAGCATGGGAGAGAGAGAGACAGCTAAAGGGGAAGTGCCACAAGTTTCAGACAACTAGATCTGCTGAAAACTCACTCCCTGTCATGAGAATAGCAAGGGTGAAGTTCACCCTTATGATTCAATTACCTTCCACCAGCCCCCTTCCCCATGGGATTACAATTCTACGTGAAATTTTGGTGGGGACACAGAGAAAAACCATATGAGATCTTATTTTTTAAAAATTTCTTAATAACTTCTTCTTAACTAACGTTAATTAAATAAATTATTCCTTGTAACCTGGACATATTCAAAAAGGAATTGAAGCAGTTTAATATGAACATTATAAGATTAAAACTTTGATTGGAGAAATTATACATCAATAAGAAGGAAGAGTATTTTGAGAGGTTTTCAGAGAGAGCAAAATGTGGTAAAGCAAAAAGATGAGAGAAAACTGTCAATGGATAACAGCGTTAAATACTAAAAATTATGAGAAATCCAAACATCTTTATTCAGTGGCAGAGAAAAATAACAGAAAGTTAACAGTTTTGATACTTTTATATATGTACAATGGAATTGAGTTACTAAGTAAACTGATGGTATAGGTATATGCATAAAACACCTTCATTAATACAATCACATTCAAGCTTTCTAATAGTTCTGCATAGTAGGAAACCTATTTACTACTTTGCAGAAAAGTTATTAAAGTTTTTAAAGTCCTCAGTGTACTTGACTCAGCCATGACATAGAACTACTTTGGTTCCTAATTCTCCAACAAAAGGCATAAGGACTCTTTGGAGAAATAGCTGATCCTAGGACTGTGGCAGGAAATATACAAAGTGTGCCTGGAATATCTTGTATTACCAAACAGTAAGAAAGTGCTTAAAAAAGAAAGAGAACACACGCTATAATGTCTGTGTGTCAAAGGGAAGCAGGAATTAACCGAAAGAGCTCCCAATGGCCAAAACTGGAATAATCGGAGCAAGAAAATAAACAAACGACATTAGATTATAACCCAAAATAAAATATTCTGGAGTTCATACTGGTATAAATAGATTGTTGGATGAACACATAAATCAGAGAGAAGAAACAAATATCCATGCAGAAGAATTACAAATAATTTGTGAGAAAACTCCATTTTCAAGGAGAGGGAGCACATAATCCTTACTCCTTATAGTAAGCCCCAAATATAGCAGTTTGCTTTAGATACTAATCTATGACACATATAATCCTGACTCACCATTCCTAAAACCTGACATAACAATAATAGCATAAAGCTAGTAGTTTTATGGCCCTCTTTGGTCATATAAAACACCTTCATTAGTATCATCACATTCAAACTTTCCAATAATTCTGTACAGTAGGAAACATATTTACTACTTTGCACAAAAGCGATTAAAGTTTTAAAAGTCCTCAGTGTATTTGCCTTAGTCATGACACAGAACTAGCTATTCTGACTCCATATTTAGTACCTTTTCTACCATGTCTGTCAAATCCACACCTTGATAAAATCTATCACCAATATGTTTAGGCCACAGCATCTATAAACATCAACATATAAAGTTTCAGAGACACACATTCCTAAGAGCAAATAAACTTTTAAATACACATTCCTCTATATATCTAAGCTCAAAGTGAGTTATAATCACATAAACATACTGAACACATATAACTTTTCCTAAACACACATGTAAATATACAGATGAGTAGAAATGACATATACATGTGTGTGTACATATGCTCACATTTACACAGATACATGTTTGTATATATTGATCTTGACATAGATGGTCTTTTTAAATGAAATACATATATTTCTAGGTCTTTTATCTGCTTTTAAAATGTTTCACATTTATGATTCACATTGAAAGGCTTTCACGTAATATTTTGTTTTTATTCATTTGTTTATGTATTTTTAATTATTATACTTTAAGTTCTGGGATATGTGCGCAGAACATGCAGGTTCATTACATATGTATACATGTGCTATAGTGGTTTGCTGCTCCCATCAACCGGTCATCTACATTTATTTATTTTTATGAAGGAGTCTTTCTCTTGTCACCCAGGCTGGAGTGCAATGGCAAGATTTCAGCTCACTGCAACCTCTGCCTCCTGGGTTCAAGCTATTCTCCTGGCTTAGCCTCCTGAGTAGCTGGGATTACAGGTGCCCACCACCACGCCACGCTTTTGTATTTTTAGTAGAGATAGGGTTTCACCATGTTGGCCAAGCTGGTCTCAAACTCCTGACCTCAGATGATCCACCCACCTCAGCCTCCCAAATTGCTAGGATTACATGCATAAGCAACCACATACAGTCTTATTTTATTTTTATTGAAAAATGTTATGCCCTTCCATTTTAAGAATGACAGAACAGCTTCTTTATAGAAACTATTTGCCTATAGACATTTATTCATTCAAATCTTTAGCCCAGTATTCTCTACATGTATAGGAAAATAAAATAATAAATAATTATAAAACAGCATGCAAAGAATATGTTAGTAGTCAAAATAACAAACATAAGAATTAGTAGTTCTTAAATGTCTTTTGGCCTATAAATATGTAGCCTACTGCAACCAATATTTTTACTAGAATGATTCTAAACCTCAAAAGTACAATTTTATTGGAAATTATTTTAGCTTGGACTGAGTTTAGCAACCTTCTCATATCCTCAGTTAGTAAAGCAAACAAAGAAGATAAGCAGATTTGTTTTTTCTTGTTTAGTATTTGAATCAACAACAAAAAAAGGAAGAATAAGAAAAAGCAACTAATTTCATGTGTTTCAATTATAGATGCTTAAGATGCTTAACAAACTGTCCATTAAAACTTTTTGTAAGCAAAATAATTGACAGCAAAAATGTAGTATTTCTATTGAACATTAACTATGTATATATTAATATCAATGTAAAATTCATTTTGCTAAAAGTTATTCAAATACATCTTCAAATTGTATTGTATGTTTACTCAGGAAGTTCAGATCACAGTACTTTCGTTTACTTTTTTTTATTGCATTTTAGGTTTTGGGGTACATGTGAAGGACATGCAAGATTGTTGCAAAGGTACACACATGGCAGTGTGATTTGCTGCCTTCCTCCCCATCACCTATATCTGGCATTTCTCCCCATGCTATCTCACTCCAACTCCCCACCCCCTGCTGTCCCTCCCCTATTTCCCCCAGACAGACACCAGTGTGTGATGCTCCCCTCCCTGTGTCCATGTGTTCTCACTGTTCAACACCCACCTATGAGTGAGAACATGTGGTGTTTGGTTTTCCATTCTTGTGCCAGTTTGCTGAGAATGATGGTTTCCAGGTTCATCCATGTCCCTACAAAGGACACGAACTCATCATTTTTTACTGCTGTATAGTATTCCATGGTGTATATGTGCCACATTTTCCCTGTCCAGTCTATCATTGATGGGCATTTGGGTTGGTTCCTGCTCTTTGCTATTGTAAACAGTGAAGCAGTGAACATTCATGTGCATGTGTCCTTTTAGTAGAATGATTTATAGTCCTTTGGATATATACCCAGTAATGGGATTGCTGGGTCAAATGGAATTTCTATTTCTAGGTCCTTGAGAAATTGCCACACTGTCTTCCACAATGGTTGAACTAATTTACACTCCCACCAGCAGTGCAAAAGTTTTCCTATTTCTCCACATCCTCTCCAGCATCTGTTGTCACCAGATTTTTTAATGATTGCCATTTTCATTTACTTTTTTACTGAGATAGTGAACCCACTCATAGAGAGCCTTGGCATCAGGGCATTGATGGCATCACAACTGCAATATCCTTATTGTCTTCAAGATTTTTCTCTTACTTATTCTTTACTATTGTTCATAGAGGTAAAAAAATCAACAAGTTTAAAAAATAGAAAGTGCAGCAGTCTCTATTTATTGAAAAGATACTGCAGAGAACATGAAAAGCTGGTATCTTTCTCACTGATTGTTTGAACAAAAGCAGGACAGGTTTTCAGGGTCCAGTTTTTTCTTTCTCCGAAGTCCTTCAATCTGTGTCAGTGCTTTGAAAAGCTTCAGGTTCAGAGCAATTGTTCTTTAAGTCACCTTTTTCCAATTTGAGTGACATAGGGTAGGAGGCCCTTTCTAAAAAAGGAAAATATTGGTTATAATTCACTTTGCTCTTGCCTCATCATTTAAAAAAGAAGCAATAAATGAGTTATAGTAAGCTGACTGGTAAGAAATACAAAAAAGTAACAACAAGGCCAAAATCAAGGGTAAAAAGACAGATTCAAAGACAAACACCTTTATTTTCTCAACATCTTCTACATTCTTTTCCATCCAAATGATTATAGTATTAGAATATCACTCAATGCAATGTGCTGGATGGATCTTTGACATGCTCAAAAGAATTACTAACACTAAACTATAATTTGAAGCAGAATAAAGCAAACTGAAACAACCTAGTTTTCTTTTTCATTTATCCGAGGTTCAACATGCACCCAACATGAATGAAAAATCAAATGTTAAATGCAAAATGCATGCATTTAGATGTTTTTAATAAGGAGCTTAATGCTTGGCTTTACAATCAGCCTCTATTTCTTGGAAATCTGGCAATGCAATTGCAAAATTCAATCCTGAAATTTGTGCCTTAGTTGTGTCCCAGTTTTGCCCTTCCTCAGTTGTACCTTATTATTTTATTGATGTGAAATTAGGAGTCATCAGTAAAACAGAAACATTCTTAATTAACACCTTCAATGTATTTCAAATGAGCATGTTATAGTGTGATAACAATGGAAGGATAATGAAGATGGGATATTTGACTTATGTTGAAGAGAGAAGACAAATGCCCCTCTTGGAGTTGAAAGCACTGGCAAAGGAAAAGTCCCATGGATCTCAGCACTGGCTGAGAAGGGAAGGAAAGTGTCCCCTAGGCTTGGGTCCTTAAAAAAGTATCCTTTATGGCATTGATGGTGATCGTGAAGGAAAAACTAAAACTCATGGAGGAAGGCCCTAAAGCACCTTCTTCTAAACCTCTGCATGTCACCTACATGGAAAGAGGGATGAGGAGCAACAGAAAGGTAAGGCTCATGCTGTATATCAAGATATATGATCTTTCTAACAGAACCCTAGAATTAGCAACTCTCTCCTTAAAGGAAACATGTATCCTCATAATAGAACCTCAACGGCTGGCTAACTGCAATAAGGAAGCCCTCATTTCTCTCAGCCTCCACAGAAGTGTCTGTTAGAACACTTCAGGAGCTTTCTGAATAAGCTTCTGGATTATAATAAGCCAAAGTTATTGTTTGTCTATCCCATAGGTTTAATGTATTATTTGGCAGTGTTAGGTGAGGAGCCATATGTGGTCTGATGGTGGCACCAAAATGCCAATGAGGTTGAACAAGAGCATGCACAAAGGAGCTAAAAAAACATCTCTCTGAGATAATTTAATGCACTGAACTCTCTGTTTCTAACTCTCTCGCATACAATATTTCTGGTCATCTGACTCTGTGCAAGACCTAAACACAAATTATACTTTTAAAAAATACTATGTAGGTCCCAAATCAGCTCCTGCTATGATAAATGTTTCTGAATATCCCATGTCAATCTCAGCTTGTGCTGGGTGTCAGGAGTGGCTGCATCAGGGTGATAGCCCATGCAATATGCATGGTAGTAATAAATATTTATTGATACTTTTTTTCTTCTATAAAATGTGCTTGGCACTTTATATTCATAGTGGTTGCCACAACAATCTTGCAAAATAAACATTCTTTTTTTAAAAAAATAAGGCAAATAAGCTGCACTTTTTTGTTAATTCATATTTGCTGGTGGAGTCACGGCTCACTATAGCCTCAATCTTCTGGTCTCAAGTGATCCTCCTTCCTCAGTCTCCCATTTATCTGCTATAACAGGTGCACACCACCATCCCTGGCAAAGTTTTAAATTTTTTGTAGAGATGGGGTTTCACCATATTGCCTAGGCTAGTCTTGAACTTCTAGGCTCAAGCAACGCTCTTGCCTCGGCCTCCCAAATTGCTGGGACTACAAGTGTGAGCCACTGTGTCCAGCCTAATTGTTCATTATATATGCCCCTAACTTTCTATGTCTTTACTCCTCTATTGCCCACTTATAACAACATAAAATGTTTCCTTAAAGAGTTAAATTAAAACACAAGACATAGTTTTGGCATATATATTAAATAGAAAAAAAAGCACATATGTGCTCAGCAAATACATATACATTAAACATTGAGGTAACTATATATAAGTGTGGGTAATATTTTTTCCTTCACAGCAATGGAGAAGGCTCTGCATATATGTCTGCAACTTGCTTTTACACTTACTTAATCATGGTAATTTTTTTAAAATTTTTTATTGCATTTTAGGTTTTGGGGTACATGTGCAGAACATGCAAGACAGTTGCATAGGTACACACATGGCAGTGTGTTTTGCTTCCTTTCTCCCCTTCACCCACATTTGGCATTTCCCCCCAGGCTATCCCTCCCCAGCTCCTCCCCTGCTGGCCCTCCCCTTTTCCCCCCAATAGACCCCAGTGTTTAGTACTCCCCTCCGTTTGTCCACGTGTTCTCATTTTTCATCACCCGCCTATGAGTGAGAATATGCGTTATTTCATTTTCTGTTCTTGTGTCAGTTTGCTGAGGATGATGTTCTCCAGATTCATCCATGTCCCCACAAATGACACGAACTCATCATTTCTGATTGCTGCATAATATTCCATGGTGTATATGTGCCATATTTTCCCAATCCAGTCTATCATCAATGGGCATTTGGGTTGGTTCCAGGTCTTTGCTATTGTAAACAGTGCTGCAATGAACATTCATGTGCATGTGTCCTTATAGTAGAACGATTTAAGTCCTTTGGATATATATCCAGTAATGGGATTGCTGGGTCAAATGGGATTTCTATTTCTAAGGCCTTGAGGAATCGCCACACTGTCTTCCACAATGGTTGAACTAATTTATACTCCCACCAACAGTGTAAAAGTGTTCCTTTTTCTCCACATCCTCTCCAGCATCTGTTGTCTCCCGATTTTTTAATGATCGCCATTCTAACTGGCGTGAGATGGTATCTCAATGTGGTTTTGATTTGCATCTCTCTGATGACCAGAAGAATTAAAACTTCTAATTTAACAGATGAGCAATTGCAAATAACAAAATTGCAGACAAACACAACTTTAATGAAAAGTGACACACTGGAGATTCTTTTTTTGTCTTGTTCTTTTTCATCGGGTAACAACAAATTAGTTCAGGAAACCATATTAGAATGCTGTGATTGCAATAACCAGCTCATAGCCCATGCTTTTAGCTTTGTTTTTTGTTTGTTTTCTGAAACCATACATGACACTTCTTTTGTGCTAAGTAGATATTTTTTTCACTCAGATGTATCACAGTCGTTCAAGTCCAGACTAGTTCTATGTGCTATTGCTATCTGCTGCTGCTTTATTTATGGTTTCTCCTTTAAAAAATGTTATATTTTTAGTGTTCAGGGCTAAAGACCTGCAATGGTCATACAGAGGGGATATATGTGAAATATACAACTCCTTTCCCAGGGAGTCACAGTTTGGCTCTCTAAAACCAAGGCCCTGTTTAATTCTACCTATTTGTCTCTTCTGGTATATTCTTTCTCCAATATAATGGGTAAGGGCATAACCTATATGAGTATCTATTTTAATATGGCAACATGCTATGTGCTTTTCATAACTGTGAAGGAAAAAGAATTAGCTTCTTTGCTTATTTAGCAGACAAGTCATTTAAAAAAACTGCTAAATATGCATCTGATTATACTATAAAATGATCTACAAAACAGAACATCTAGCTGATTTTAGCTTAGCTATTGATGATATAAAAGCATCTACAATGTTCCTTCTTATCAAGTAAGAAGAAAATGATTTTAAAAAATTTATTTCCATATGTATTACAAAGCAATAATTTAGGGCTAGCTACATCTCTCATTAGTATCACTAGAGAACTATTAAACTTTAAATGTTAGAAACCTGCTATAATAAATGTTTGCTTTCAATATTAATGATTCCTCCATAGCCTATTATTTTGGAAATTTAGAAATTGTTAATACCACTTTATGTGCCAAAAGTCAGGGTACATGACCTAATAAGTGTTGTAATATTTATATATACAGACATACACATGCATGTGTATGTTTATCTATAGTAATATATGTATATTATAATATATACCTATAACAATATTTAACAATTTAATGATCAAGATATCCAGCCATCAACAGTCACCATTATGTAAAGAAAACTGTATAAATATGTAAATATTAATATTTGTACTTCCTAAGGGAAGACCACACCACCACTTATGAAGTAGACTTGCCCAAGGAAAAGAAATTCTTCCTGATCTTTTCAGTCTACTAGTTTCAACTCCTAATATATATACAGTAAATATTGATATTGAAACATACTGATCATTATGTTAGAACATATTAATTCTATCATCAACCAACTAAGAGACACAATCAGTATAATTTAAACCGTAGGAGGTATTGTTGATCACATGTCTTAGTTAGTTCAGCTTCCTACACTTCAACATTTTTCTGTTGCAGACCAGATGTCTTCTTTCCTGGGGCAGCCCCTCTCATCTTCCCCTCTGCATACTGCTCCCTTCAAAAAGAATTCCAGTAGTGTCATCATAAAATGAGCATTTTTTGTGACAAAATAAATTATGACAGCCTGATTCCATTAGGAATTTATATTCAAATTCTGGCACCAAGTTTTTAACAAGTTGGACACAGATAATATATTGCAAAAAAAAAAAAACCAAAACACTCAAGAAAGAGCAAAGGGCTCAATTAAAACCAATATTTCAAAAAGTGACTGTAGGCCAGGTGTGGTGGCTTATGCCTGTAATCCCAGCACTTTGGAAGGCTGAGGTGGGCAGATCACCTGAGGTTGGGAGTTCAAGACCAGCCTCACCAACATGGTGAAACCCTGTCTTTACTAAAACTACAAAAATTAGCCGAGCATGGTGGCATGCACCTGTAATCCCAGTTACTTTGGAGGCTGAGGGAGGAGAATCGCTTGAACCCTGGGGGGTGAAAGTTATGCCACTGCACTCCAGCCTGGGTGACAAGAGCAAAACTCTGTCTAAGTAAGTAAATAAATAAATAATTTCTTAGTGCTCGTTTTGACAGCACATATACTAAAATTGGAACGATACAGAGAAGATTAGCATGGCCCCTGTGCAAGGATGACATGCAAATTCGTGAAGCATTCCATATTTTCTTCCATTTTCTAAGGTCCAAGATTGGTGAAACTGAGGCTCCTTTAGCTGAAGTCACTGATCCCGTTAAGGAATGTTCCTACATCCAACCCCATTTCCACCTCCACCTCCAAAAAAAAATAATTTTTAAAAAAGTGATTGTAATAGACTCTTGTTGTATCACTGAAAATTTCCTTTCTGTTTTGGAATTCACTAATCCCATTGTTTTATTTGTTCCATTTCCCACTATCTTTTTAATTTTTGTAAATATACATTTCAACTTTGAAATTACAGTCTTTCAGGGTCTCTTCCTGTGCTTTCAAAGATGAAAGACCAAATAGGAAATGCCTAGTTTGCTTTGTTTCCGCATCAAATGTGTCTCCCACAGAGCTCCCAAAATAAGAAAAAAGATGTTTATCAATGAGTTCACACCTACAGCAATTTCCAACAATATTCTGCTGTTTTCTACCTAGGTCTAAGGATAAGCTCAAGTAATGGCAGGTATGCTACATCCTTTGCCTAGAAATGACTTGTTTCATCACCTGAAGTCAAAGCTGTAACACAGCAGCTGAGAGACACCAGGAATCATGTTATAGGCAGGGTGGGCAGTGATCTCCATTGTTTATTCCATGTCCAAAAATTAATCTACAGGCATTTGTCCTTAATATTCAGTTCACAAAACAAACTTACCGATTGGCTTTTTGAAGTTCTCGCTGTTTCTGCAAATTGGTGTCCACATATTTGAGTACTCGGCTCTCCGGAACCCACTCATCCCAACTGAAAAAGAGGAAAGTGAAAATTTCACTCAAAAATACTCTGTTCTCCAATTAATTTTCTGAGATCCAAGCGGCAAGACTGGATTTCTCTGAAGTAATTTGATGAACAGGCACTACAAATATATCCTCAACTAAAACAAAAATCTAATGGAACTCTGTTCTGTAAAAAGAAAAACTTTGTATTTTCAGAAGCAGCATTCCAAATCTAAGCTGCCAGAGTCTGAAAGTAGTTATTCAAATCATTTTTAGAAATGGCTTAAGAGTATAGCACTTAATGTAACATTATCTAAGTGATTAGCCTTATCTTAAAGACTTTAATTGCCAAAAATAAAGCACAGGAATCAAAAACACTTTTTTTTTATGGGGTTACACCATGATGGCCAGGCTGGTCTTGAACTCCTGACCTCAGGTGATCCACCCACCTAAGCCTCCCAAAGTGCTAGGATTACAGGTGTGAGCCACCACACCCGGCTAAAAACACTTTTCTTTTTGGAGATGGGAGTCTCACTCTGTCTCCCAGGCTGGAGTACAGTGGCTCCATCTCAGCATACTGAAACCTCCACTTCCCGTGTTCAAGCGATTCTCCTGCCTCAGCCTCCCGAGCAGCTGGGACTACAGGCACATGCCACCTTGCCTAATTTTTTTATTTTTAGGAGACATGGGGTTTCACCATGTTGGCCAGGCTCATGCCCGTAATCCCAACACTTTGGGAGGGTGAGGCAGGCAGATCATGAGGTCAGAAGTTTGAGACAAGCCTGACCAACATGGTGAAACCCAGTCTCTACTAAAAACATGAAAATTTAGCCAGCTGTCTGTAGTCCCAGCTGCTGGGGGTGGGGGGTGGGCCTGAGTCAGGAGAATCACTTGAACCCAGTAAATGCAGGCTGCAGTGAGCTGAGTTTGCACCACTGCACTCAAGCCAGGGTGACAAGAACAAGACTCCATCTCAAAAATAAAAAATAATAAAACCAGCTGGATAGTTAGCTGTGTATAATGACAAAGTTCCATACAGCTCTCTGGGTTTTCATTTCATCATCTATGAAATGAGGATAACACAGTACCTATCTCAAAAAATTGTTATAAGAATACATGTAAAACATGAGAATCCCTGGAACAAAATAACAAACACTAAATGTATGTCAGAAACATACAAAGAAGTCTACAATACTCAAAACACCATCTAGATGGATCTAGCTAAATCTGTATTACAATGATTTGACACCATTCTTCACCTTCATTCACTCACAACTGAACACATACTAACTTCTGAGGCAGATCAGAAAGCTGGCTTTCTAAATTAGAAGGCAGAACCAACTCTCTTAAAATATTAAGGCATTCTGGCACTTCAAAAAGCTTGTTCAAAACAATTTCTGACTCTGTTTTTCCCTCAAAAAAGCCAACAAAGACAAGGTTATTTCTTAGGGAATGCTAAATTTTTTGAGCAGTAAATCTTTTCTCCTGCTGATGGAGCTCCTTTAGTGACACAATTAGGTATATTCTCAAGGGAACCAATTTTAAAAAGTAACCAATTAAAAAAAATTGTTTAACATTTCCTTTTGTTTAATAATTTCCCACCTCTGATCTCTTATATAATACAGCCAAAAGGAAAATAATAAAAAGCAATCTTCAACATGATTTCCTAGAGAAAACTTCAAAACATGCATTTACCTAGAGGTCAGGAGGGGGTGGTGTACTGAGGGAGCTCCTTCAGGAACATGAAAAAGGGCTACAGTATCCTCATGTGTCTTCAAAGATTTTTCAGAGCTCCTGGGCCTCACAGCACTTCTGATACAGACAGCATAGTACAAAGTAATCTCAGTAACCAGGTGGAGAATTTAGCTTCAGCTTTATTAAGATTCATTTACAAATGGAATATTTGCCTGTGTCAACAAATTCCAATGAGGTTTGAAAAGTTAGAAATCTCAATCCTCTATTATGTTTTTGAAAAAACATTAACTGAAGTTTAAGGAAATTCCAATTTTGGGATTAAGGTTTTGTTGAATTTCAAAAAGCACTCCACAAACCATTTTCTAAATGAGATTATTTTTGAGATATTTATGTGTATTTATATCTATTCCAATTCTAAATCAAAGGGAGTTAGCCAATTTTTAATTACCACAAGTTTCCATTTTAGAACCTTACAAACCCCTTCCCACTGATAGATAAAACATATTTTAAAAAAGCACTTTGCTCTAAACAGCAAGTTATAGCTAGAGTTTCCTTTATATGTAAAGAGCTGAAAATCCTTGCTGAACCAAGGAAGAATGAAGTGGACAACATCTTTTGCTCTAAGGAACATCATAGGGTAATAACTAAAGGTCAAACATTCAGAAGTTTTTATATTTAAGTCAAGCGTAAGAGAATTTCAGAATTTTCTAAAGGTCATTTGTGAGTGCAATTCCCAAATTTACAATGATCCATGGTAATAACTGAAGGCCAAACACTCAAAAAATTTTATATACAGGTCAAGCATAAAATGATTTCCTAATTTTCTAAATGTAACATGACTAATTCCCAGTCACAATGATCCATGGGCAGTATTTACATAGACTAAATACACAACACACTTATTAGGTATGTGAATAACTCCTCCCCCTTTCAAAATGAGTTTAAAGGCTTCTTTAAAGACTTTCTAGAGCTAAAATTCTTTCAGTATTACATATATCTACATACCAAGTGAACCAAACACATTTCTGATACATTAATATTCCTCAAAGCATCTACAAAGATAGTAACAAATCTCTAATATTTGGTACAATTTTAAAATTTTCCCAATCAGTAATATGTGTCAAATTATGAGAACAAAAAATCTACACAAACCTATCATTTCTTTGAGTTACTGGTCTACAATACACCAAAGAGAAATGTCCATTACTTTTTGAAGCAATAAAATCAGAAAATACAAGCATTTGGTATTTTCACAATTTGTGACAAACTACAAAAGCCACTTAAAGTCCAGTCTTTGCACTGCACTTATCTATGTGTGCAATTTTATACAGGGTATCTATTATATGTGGAAAAAGAACTAAGCAAAAAAGCTGTATCCACAAAGTGAAATTCTAAAACAATTTTTAAGGTTTTCAAAAATATCTCCTTTCTTCTATTCCCTTTTCATAGTTTCCCTTAATGTGTTCAATCACTTTTTTTTTTCTGAGTCTTACTCAGTCGCCCAAGCTGGAATACAGTGGTGCAATCTCGGCTCACTGCAACCTCCACCTCCCAGGCTCAAGAGATTCTCCTGCCTCAGCCTCCTGAGCAGCTGGGACTACAGACATGCATCACTGTGCCCGGCTAATTTTTTTATTGTTAGTAGAGATGAGATTTTACCACGTTGGCCAGGCTGGACTCAAACTTCTGACCTCAAGTGATCCACCTGTCTTGGCCTCCCTAAGTGCTGAGATTACAGGCACGATACACCATGCCCAGCCTCAATCACTTTTTAAAAATTTTTATTTGCTTATTTAATTCTAAGAGGGGTGTCTAGCTATGTTGTCCAGGCTGGCCTCAAACTCCTGAGCTCAACCTCAGCTTCCTAACAAGCTAAAACTATAGGCACCACCACATCTGGCTCTAAAACACTCCTTAAAAATGCAAGAGGTGACGGGGAGTAGGCCTAACCCATAAATTTGCTTTGTGTTTTTCTTTGATATCTTGTATGGTCTTTAACTTTCCCACTGGTAGTATGCGTAAAATCAAGATATTATCTTTCCTTGAGAAATGAGATTCTTACAACACTCTCAGCTTTATCTGTATTGTACTGTCAGAATATCAGTATGTAAAATATACATTAGTATACTGAAATGCAGTTTTAGCAAGGCATTGTTTAGTAAGAAAAAGCTACGAAACACACTAGGAGTCACAGATACTTTGTTTCCTAGATATTAGTATTAAAACCACAGTTTACTTCTATCAAAACAGTTTTCTCCATTATTTTCTCAATTTCTTATTTTTTATTTATTTATTTTTATTTTCTCAATTTCTAAAATTGGGAAAATACAAGTCCATGAGGCTGAAGTTACCTATCATTATTAGATACTACCTATTATTATTAGAAATACACGTTGTTGGGCCGGGCGCGATGGCTCAAGCCTGTAATCCCAGCACTTTGGGAGGCCGAGGCGGGTGGATCACGAGGTCAAAAAATCGAGACCATACTGGTCAACATGGTGAAACCCCGTCTCTACTAAAAATACAAAAAATTAGCCGGGCATGGTGGCGCGTGCCTGTAATCCCAGCTACTCAGGAGGCTGAGGCAGGAGAATTGCCTGTACCCAGGAGGCGGAGGTTGCGGTGAGCCGAGATCGCGCCATTGCACTCCAGCCTGGGTAACAAGAGCGAAACTCCGTCTCAAAAAAAAAAAAAAAAAAAAAAAAAAAGAAAAGAAAAAAAAAGAAAGAAATACATGTTGCTGTTTCTTTTTAAAGGAGTCCAGTTCTTGGACTGTCACTCAGGCTAGAGTGCAATGGCACATCATAGCTCATTGTACTCTCAAAATCCTGGGCTCAAATAATCCTCCTGCCTAAGCCTTCCAAGTAGCTGGAACTACAGGAGCGTGCGGCCACCTCTCACTCATTATTAGAAATACTTTATCAGGCCAGGTGTAGTGGCTCACCCCTATAATCCCAGCACTTTGGGAGGCCATAGCAGGCAGATCACCTGAGGCCAGGAGTTCAAGACCAGCCTGACCAATTTGATGAAACCCCAGCTCCACTAAAAATACAAAAATCAGGTGAGCATGGTGGCATTTGCCTGTAATCCCATCTACTTGGGAGGCTGAGACAGGAAAATCGCTTGAACCAAGATCACACCATTGCACTCCAGCTCAGGCAACAAGAGCATAAACAGTCTCAAAAAAACCAAAAAAACCAAAACTTTATTAACTGGGGTAAAAACCCACAAGTTGTCAGGATACACTTCTATGCATTTCAGATTTCTACCTTTCCACATTTATATTAATGGAAGAGAAGTGAAAGATCTGATAAATTCTTCTCAGCTGAAAACATCTGATATGTAAAAACAACTTTCTAACCAAGAAATAAAATTAACTGAATTGGTCACCTGGATGACCAATTGTACTAAATGAAACAAGACCAAAGTCACAGGGCCAGCGAACTTCACAGGGGAACAAACCTCCTTCGACAGTAACAGAGTACTCATGAAATCAGATGGCACTGCTCCCATGGTAAACCAGGCACCAGAGCTTGAGTCAGGTGACACAAAGCCTTCAGTTACTGAAGAGCAATTCCTGAAGAACCGTATTAAATAGCAAGGGCAGTGCTATCTTTGAAAGACAAAGCATCATTAATAAAATATAAAACATCCCATAGTAAAAATTACAAATCTTTTAATTACAATCACCAATTAGAGAATTGGGTAAATTTTAGATAGGGTTATTTTGTGAAGCCCAAGAAGAAAAGTCCCATCACTGAGAGTTCCACTGAATGGACATTCTAGAATGTGTTCAAATCTATACCCACTGTCCATTCCTAGAAATAGATCAATAACATCGATGCTTTACCATAAAAAAAAAAAAAAAAAAAGATGCGGTGGCTTATGCCTGTAATCCCAAACTTTGGGAGGACAAGGCAGGCAGATCACCTGAGGTCAGAAGTTCAAGACCAGCCTGGCCAACAAGGTGAAACCCGGTTCTACTAAAAATACAAAAAATTAGCAGGGCTCGGTGGCAGGAGCCTGTAATCCCAGCTACTCGCGAGGCTGACGCGGGATAATCACTTGAACCCAAGAGGTGGAGGTTGCAGTGAGCCAAGATCATGCCAGTGCACTCCAGCCTGGGTAACAAGAGCGAAATTCTGTCTTAGAAAAAAAAAAAGGCTTAGGGCTCTATAATTAAATTTGTTTATGTGTTAAATCATACAGTAAAAAGTGAGTTACATGAGGTCATTTTCTGTCAACACTAAATTATGTTTCCAAAGATCAAAAAATGGGTTGGCAAATTCTGTCATTATTTCCCAATCAAGAAACATTTATCCTTTTCTCTTTTCTAGACAGAAAATCCAACAAGTTTTGAGCATAGCTGCTTGAAATAACATATGTAATCAACATGTTTGTGATAAGGCCAAAAAATTCAGGCTATCCTAAAACTGTACCAAAACCAGAAAAAAAAAAAAGAAAAACTTGTGATTGCCACATTCAACCAGAATAACTGGTTGGCTACATGACTATTAAGCATTATGCTAGAACATAATACTCCCAAGAACCAAGTACATTTAAATTAAAATGGCTGAGTACCCTAATTTCTAATGATTCACCCTTACTTCAATATGTACCATATTACATTAAAACCACATAAGAATTGAAAACTGAAAAGCACATACTTGATGCTAGTCAGTGATACAAGCTATCTTGCTAATTATAAATAAAATTATAAGATCTAATACTCACTTTTTATTCCAACCACTGTAATGTATGAAGTATTTCACTTGTTTGTCCTTTATGGCAACCTTTACACACTGAAATTTTAAAAAATGATAATTCACTTAGACTTTTTTTTAAAAGAGAGACACTACCTTTTCAAATCATCCTTCAGAGACACTCTACACAAGCTTTATGGTGGCCTAAACAACATGACTAAGAGAACACTAGTTATGCTTATACAATACTTGTTACAAAACCTGCAGATTAGTCACAAAAGGTCCAACAAAGCTGAGAACCACGAGCATAAAAGGTTACCCTAAATCTTAAATCAGCAGAGTACAAAAGCTATGCAAGGACAGCTAATGAAAGCTGTTTGTTTTCTTCAGCCTAATCAGCTAGCAGCTGTATTTATTTCAAAAGCAAATTCCTCTAAAGCTATGCCTTTAAACTATATTATAAAAGAACTCATTAGCTTATGAAAGGCAGTAAAGGGGCCTGTTTCAGAAAAATCATCTTAAATAACTTATAAAGCAGTGAATATAAAACTTTTCACATTTTTCTTAAAAGCAGCAAAACAGGCCAGGCACGGTGGCTCAAGCCTGTAATCCCAACACTTTGGGAGGTCAAGGCAGGTGGATCACAAGGTCAAGAGATCGAGACCATCCTGGTCAACATGGTGAAACCCGGTCTCTACTAAAAATACAAAAAATTAGCTGGACATGGTGGCGCGTGCCTGTAATCCCAGCTACTCAGGAGGCTGAGGCAGGAGAATTGCCTGAACCCGGGAGGTGGAGGTTGCAGTGAGCTGAGATCGCGCCATTGCATTCCAGCCTGGGTAACAAGAGTGAAACTCCGTCTCAAAAAAAAAGCAGCAAAACATCAGGTTGAACGAAGATAAGAGGAAAAATAGCAGCCAAACAAAAGGAATTATTAGAAGAAAAAGTCATTAACTATGACAAATGATGAGTATCTAGTTTTGGATTTAAGTCTTTATAAGACACAAAGCAAAATAACCACAACAGTTTCATTTGTTTTAATAGCTTCAATTAAAAAATTGTTCACCAGAGTGTCAGCTGCCAGGAGAAAAATCAGCCAGTTTAGTAAAGTTCGCCAAAAGTTGACACAAGAAAAATATCGTTCAGGTACATAAATTTTTCAGGAACACATAATTTTTTTTTTTCTAGTAGAGACAGTCTTGCTATGTTGCCCACACTGGTCTCCAACTCCCGGCCTCAAGCAATCCTTTTGCCTCAGCTCCCCAAAGCCCTGGGAGTACAAGCTTGTACATCATGGCACCTGGCCATGAGTTGTAATTTAACACTTCTAAAATGTATACACATATCATTAAGATATATTTACATACACATATACTGGCTGGGCGCGGTGGCTTACACCTCTAATCCCAGCACTTTGGGAGGCTGAGGCAGGTGGATCAGGAGGTTGGGAGTTCGAGACCAGTCTGACCAACATGGTGAAACCCCATCTCTACTAAAAATCCCTAAATTAGCTGGGCATGGTGGCACACACCTGTAATCCCCGCTACTCGGGAGACTGAGTCAGGAGAATCGCTTGAACCCAGGAGGCAGAGGTTGCAGTTGCAGTGAGCTGAGATCCTGCCACTGCACTCCATCCTCAACAACAGAGCAAGATTGTCTCAAAAAAAAAAAAAGATGAGAATATATTCATATACTTAGAAATTCCTGACCATCTCCATATATACAAATCCAGCCATTTTAGGAATTATTATTTTTTTTAAGAGACAGTCTCACTTTGTTGCCCAGGCTGGCCCTGAACTCCTGGAAGTAATCCTCTAGCCTCACCCTTTTGGGCAGGCGAAAACTACAGGCATGAGCCACCACGCCTGGCTGTTTAGAACTTTAAAAATATATTTCAGTGTATTTAGAACACAGAAAAACAAAGGAGTGAAAATGGTTAATATTTAGTCAGAACTGTCTGATACTTTACAATTAAGACTATTTTCAGACACACATAGAACTATTCAATAAGAATTTATGCAGAAATTGCCTTTAAACATTGCACTGTTTTTTATTTTATGGGTTCATTTTTTAGAACCACAACTGTTCAAAGTATAATCAAGTCTTAACTATTTATACTAAAAAAAGTTAGCAGAAAAAAAGTACTGAAACATTTGACTTTGGAATGCCTTCTCCTGCTTACCTTCAGCTAAATGTAAAATCAGTTTTTATAACTTGAGCACATGCTGATACAGACAGCCTCCCAGGATTCAAACTTTCCCAGACAAACCAACAATCAAAAGTTAAATGTACAGCCAGGCACACATTTGATCAAAAGGTAAACATACGGCACGGTGGCTCACATCTGTAATCCCAGCACTTTGGGAGGCTGAGGTGGGAGGTTCACGAGGTCAAGAGATTGAGACCATCCTGGCTAACTTGTCAAATCCCCTCTCTACTAAAAATATAAAAATTAGCTGGGCGTCGCAGCTGAGGCAGAATCCCTTGAACCCAGGAGGCGGAAGTTTCAGTGAGCTGAAACTACACTACTGCACTGCAGCCTGCTGACAGAGTGAGACTGTCTCAAAAAGAAAAAAAGTTAAATGTATTTACTTTTAATATTAGCTTTTACCTTAAACCTAGTATAATTAGCTCAATGATTAATCAACATATATTTACATTTAAAAGTCATTTTGGCCATGTTTCTCACCAAGGTAAAAAGCAATAACCACAAAATGCTTTTTGTTCCCACAACCCACCTTCCCCTTCTATCATTCCCCTCAAACGCTACTTCTAGATCAGTAAGAAAAGTGGGAGAGAAAGAAAAGAAAGAAAAATAAAAGAGAGTAGCAATCTTTTAATTTGAACCCCTAAGCAAAACAATAAAAATCCCAGAAAGATTAAGAAATACATGAACTATGAACCTAAAAAAGGCAACGCTCTTACTGAGGCAACAACAAAACAGAACCTATATATTAAATAGATCTATCCAGTAGTTTTGGCCAACTTCTCAAAAGAAAACAGGTTTCATACCTTTGCTTCATACAGAAGAGGCCCATGAAAGCCCAGCACTCGCTCACCCGTAAAGGAGGAAAAAGCACCGCATTAATAATTCCTTCTCATATATAAAAAGATTCACATCTTAGAGAGTCATCACACTTTTATTAGGATATTCCCAGACAAATTAGAAAAAATGAGTACCACTTTGGCTCAAACTTCAATCAAACCCTGCAACAAAAACATGTTGGTATCAGACGGTGAAAACAAATACAATTTATTAGCAGGTCATCTACTTAAATAATCACATTACCTTTCACCTGTTAAGCACATAAGCAGAATCTCCTGCAAAACTGTCAAGGTTGGTTGGTTGGTTTTAACTGTGTATCTGAAAATACAGTTTTTTTTTTAAAATGCTTTTCTCATCTGTTTTTATGTTTAGGACTTTACCTTTCACTTGTACCTCTGCTTCCAACTCTTTTACTGAGTAAAGTATCCTACACGTTAAAGTATCAATATGCATCAGAGATGACTGGATTAAGGGGTCTGTCTTACTATGCTCATTCCTCAAATGTGCAATGATGTTCTAGGTGCCAAGATGCTTCAAAGAACAAAAAAATAAGACAGTAATTCCTAATCTTTGGAACTTAACAGTCTATGTCGAGTCTACTTGCAAGACTAAACAAAATGTGAGGACCTGGAATTAAGAATCATTTGTCTGTTCATCAGACCCATGAACAACAGAAGTATCCATGAGTGTCAGCTCTTTTTTAGCTCTAAAATTAAAAGAGGAGGCCAGAGGTAGTGGCTCATGCCTGTAATCCCCAGCACTTTGAGAGGCCGAGGTGAGTGAATCACCTGAGGTCAGGAGTTCAAGACTAGTCCGGCCAAGAAGGCAAAACCCCATCTCTATTAAACAGACAAAAATTAGCCAGGCATGGTTGTATATGCCTGTAATCCCCGTTACTTGAGAGGCTGAGATAGGAGAATCGCTTGAACCCAGGAGCTGGAGGTTGCAGTGAGTGAGCCAAGATCACACCACTGAACTCCAGCCTGGGTGACAGAGTAAGACTCCGCCTCAAAAGAAGTAAAATTTAATGTTTAAAATAAAATAAGAAAAAAATTTTAATTTGAGATGGAATTTCGCTGTTGTTACCCAGACTGGAGTGCAATGGCATGACCTCGGCTCACCGCAACCTCTGCCTCCTGGGTTCAAGCAATTCTTCTGCCTCAGCCTCCTGAGTAGGTGGGACTACAGGTGCATGCCACCAAGCCAGGCTAATTTTTGTACTTTCTTCTTTTTTTTTTTGAGACGGAGTTTCGCTCTTGTTACCCAAGCTGGAGTGCAATGGCGCGATCTCGGTTCACAGCAACCTCCGCCTCCTGGGTTCAAGCAATTCTCTTGCCTCAGCCTCCCGAGTAGCTGGGACTACAGGCATGCGCCACAAAGCCCAGGTAATTTTTGCACTTTTTTTTTTTTTTAGACGAAGTTTGGCTCTTGTTACCCAGGCTGCAGTGCAATGGCGCGATCTCAACTCACTGCAACCTCCACCTCCTGGGTTCAAGCAATTCTTCTGGCCTCCTGAGTAGCTGGGACTACAGGCGCGCGCCTCCATGCCCAGCCAATTTTTCTACAGTTTTTTTTTTTTTTGAGAAGGAGTTTCACTCTTCGTGACCCAGGGTGGAGTGGAGTGCAATGGCACGATCTCGGCTCACTGCAATCTGCCTCCTGGGTTCAAGTGATTCTCCTGCCTCAGCCCCCTGAGTTGCTGGGATTACAAATAACAAGTGTGAGCCACCATGTCCAGCTACGTTTTCTATTTTTAGTATAGACAGTGTTTCACCATGTTAGCCAGATGGTCTCAATCTCCTGACCTCATGGTCCACCTGCCTCAGCCTCCCAAAGTGCTGAGATTACAGTTGTGAGCCACTGCAGTTTATGTATATATCCTGCAATATATATATGTATATATATATTTATTTATTTATTTTTAGATGGAGTCTTGCTCTGTCCCAGGCTGGAGTGCAGTGGCACAATCTTGGTTAACTGCAACCTCTTCCTCTCGGATTCAAGTGATTCTCCCGCCTCAGTCTCCCAAGTAACTGGGATTACAGGCGCCTGCCACCACACCCAGCTAACTATTTGTATTTTTAGTAGAGATGGGACTTCACCATATTGGCTAGGCTGGTCTTAAACACCTGACCTCAGGTGATCCACGTGCCTCGCCCTCTGAAAATACGGGGGTTAGATTCATGAGCCACTGCACCCAACCTCTGCTTTATATATTATTTCAAAAATAGAAAATATACAGAGAGTTCCCTTTGAATGTCTTCTCAGCACCAGACCCCGCCCCAGCATCCATAATGAACTGCCATTGCGAAGTTGGAGTATATACTTCTGGTCTTGATCAGAGGTCTTAATTTTGACACTAGAGAACTCCTTTAGCTGGTTTAAGCTGAAGGAATATCAGTGCCAGAACTGAAGAAATGGATTCTTGACTATTTCCTGGAGAGTCTGCCTAAAGCCACCCCTCAGGCTGGGCTGCCAAGATTATTGCTGTGGCTCCAAAGCCTTGATGACCCTACCACAATCAGGAAGCTGTCATTAAAGCTTCTGGTCTAGAATGCCATTTCTGACATTTAAAATTGACGCGCCTATGTGGACCTTTGTTTTTTTCTATTTACGACTAGTTCTAAATCAGAATCTTGGACAAATGCCATCTGACAAATCTAAATTAGATCTGAAAACTTGGGTGCAAGAAAGTTTGGAGGAAAGACTTTTCAGTCTCTTCTTTTGTGTACACCAGGAAGCTGGGTGGAATTATACAAGTGAGTTCACAGTATTTGTAAATGTCCTGAATATTTGAATTTTAATGTTCCTACTATTAATTTTTACATAAGCAATAGTGTATTGTTTTGGGTATTCAAAAAATGTGCATAAGTTACATCACAGTGCAATTATGCCTTTTCATCCAATATTATTGTTAATCTCCCCCCAGTCGACATCTGTAGCTCCCCTTCATTCTTTTTCAGTGCTATACAGTTTATACATTAGTTATTTGTTGCTGTGTAAAAAACTACATTAAAACTTACTGGCTGGCCGGGCGCGGTGGCTCACGCCTGTAATCCCAGCACTTTTGGAGGCCGAGGGGGGTGGATCACGAGGTGAAGAGATTGAGACCATCCTGGTCAACATGGTGAAACCCCGTCTCTACTAAAAATAAAAAAAAAATTAGCTGGGCACGGTGGCGTGTGCCTGTAGTCCCAGCTACTCGGGAGGCTGAGGCAGGAGAATTGCCTGATCCCAGGAGGCGGAGGTTGCGGTGAGCCGAGATCGCGCCATTGCACTCCAGCCTGGGTAACAAGAGCGAAACTCCGTCTCAAAAAAACAAAAAACAAAAAAACTTACTGGCTTAAAACATTTGTTATCTCAGTTTCTGAGAGTCAGGAATCCAGGTGTAGCTTAGCTGGGCTCTCTGGCTCAGACTCTTTTGCAAGGCTGTAATCAAGGTGTCTCCTGGGAGAGTGCTCTCACCTTAATACCTGACCACGGCAGGATGTACTTCCAGCTCACTCGCGTGGTTGCTGGGAGGATTCAGTTTCTTGCTGCTTGTGAGCTGCAGGCTATCATCAGTTCCTTGCCATGTGCGAGGTACGGAGCTCACCATAAGGCAGCTCACAATATGGCAGCTCCATTCATCAGAGCAAGCAAACTAGAACATGATTATGGCCATCTGTAATGGGTAGAACAGTGTTCCCCTGAAGCCTAAACATGTGACTTCGTGTGGAAATAGGGTCCTTCTAGATGTCATTAGTTAAGGATTTTGAAGTGAAACCAGCCTGGATTTAGCATGGACCCTAAATCCAATGACCAGTGTTTTTATAAGTAAAAGAGAGGACACAGGTCCCATAGAAGGCAATGTGAAGGTGGAGGCAGATACTGGGATGATGCTTGTGTTAGCCAGCGAGCATCTAGGATTGTCAGAAGTCACCGAGACCTAAGAATGAGGCACAGGATGCTTTCTCTCTCTGAGCCTGCAGGAGGAACCAACCCTGTTGACACCTTGACTCCAGCCTTATAGTCCAGGAGACATGAGACAGTAAGTCCACATTGATTTAAGCTGCCTAGTTTGGTTTGCACCTTTTGTCATACGCTACTTCTTTTTTTTTTTTTTTTAATTTTTTATTGGATTTTAGGTTTTGGGGTACATGAGCAGAGCATGCAAGACAGTTGAGTAGGTACACACATGGCAGTGTGCTTTGCTTTTCTTCTCCCCTTCACCCACATTTGGCATTTCTCCCCAGGCTATCCCTCCCCACCTCCCCCTCCCACTGGCCCTCCCCTTTTCCCCCCAATAGATCCCAGTGTTTAGTACTCTCCTTTCTGTGTCCATGTGTTCTCATTTTTCATCACCCACCTATGAGTGAGAATATGCGGTGTTTCATTTTCTGTTCTTGTGTCAGTTTGCTGAGGATGACGTTCTCCAGATTCATCCATGTCCCTACATACGACACAAATTCATCATTTCTGATTGCTGCATAATATTCCATGGTGTATATGTGCCACATTTTTCCAATCCAGTCTATCATCAATGGGCATTTGGGTTGATTCCAGGTCTTTGCTATTGTAAACAGTGCTGCAATGAACATTCGTGTACATGTGTCCTTATAGTAGAACGATTTATAGTCTTTTGGACATATACCCAGTAATGGGATTGCTGGGTCAAATGGGATTTCTATTTCTAAGGTCTTGAGGAATCACCACACTGTCTTCCATAATGGTTGAACTAATTTGCACTCCCACCAACAGTGTAAAAGTGTTCCTTTTTCTCCACATCCTCTCCAGTATCTGTTGTCTCCAGATTTTTTAATGATCGCCATTCTAACTGGCGTGAGATGGTATCTCAATGTGGTTTTGATTTGCCTCTCTCTGATGACCAGTGACGATGAGCATTTTTTCATATGATTGTTGGCCTCATATATGTCTTCTTTCGTAAAGTGTCTGTTCATATCCTTTGTCCACTTTTGAATGGGCTTGTTTGTTTTTTCCTGTAAATCCATTTGAGTTCTTTGTAAATTCTGGATATCAGCCCTTTGTCAGATGGGTAAACTGCAAAAATTTTTTCCCATTCTGTTGGTTGCCGATTCACTCTAGTGACTGTTTCT